AAAAAAAAAAACATGGTTACAAACTTTTTACTATAAAAAAAAAAGCATGGTTAATTTTCGTAAGGTTGGGTTTAATCGCCAACAACCACTGATATAGAACACATGCATTTACACAGAAACTGCAGAAATGAATGATTATAAAATATGAAATGCTTAATGAAATTGCGCCTGCACACCAAACTTGGAGAGGGTAAAAAGCCTGCTCAACAGCATTAACTTGCCAGTGTAAAAACGTCTCAAGTTGTATTTATGACACCTGTCATTTTCCAACCTGCTGCGCTTGGCTTTACGTGCTCGAATTTCTCATGGAGCAACACTGCCACCTGCTGTTGAGCTCCAGTACTGACTCAGCTTGTGACTTACCGGTATTAACACTGTAGAACAAATGATTTCACCGTGGACATTGACTCCAACTTACAGATTTAACGAGAACAAAACTGATGGACAGCTTGATCAACAGCAGCTATCTAACAACCTATTCTAAGATATTATAAAGCGGGAGGTTCAGGAGATATAAACTTGTGGTCGTCTGACATATGGGTAAAGCTATGACAGGAAATTAACGTTCGAGACTTTTCAGTGGTAGCTATCCGTCCTTAAAGGTTACGCGTATTCGGATCTATTTGAATGTTAAATATCTTCAGTTTTCAAGCAATTGAATGTGCTTCTAATGTGTCTGCTACGTTGTGAAATATATGAAAACTATACGAGTGGGCGGAGAAATTATCCTTCGCTAGAAGCGCTGTTGTCAAAGAAAGAGTTGAGCTGGCGCTTATGTCAGTGCCTCAGCGCCATTATAATATTGAATAGACAAGCGTAAATTAAATAGCGCTTTTCATTAGAAATAAAGGGAACTTAACAGGTTTTCTTCCATCATTAACCTCTAAATCTCTCAAGAAGTTGTCAAACTCATTTGAAAACTCAAATAACTTAGTTTTTCAAGTAGGCTATAGGCTAGGCTACACACCCGACAAAACTCAATATTATCACAACAGGCAGAAAGACTCACGTACTGTTGATAGCTGGTGATTTATTTGAGTGTCATCAAGCAGGTTTCAAGTTCTTATAGGCAATGAAAAATCCACTGATGAAAATGACAAGTCTTCATAGCACCAGTTGCAGGAGCTCCTCTAGTTTTCGATCATGACAGTTGAAAACTTAATGCCAAAAGGATATCTTGTTTAATATTAATATTAATATCTTGATTATTTGAAAAAGCTCCAAGTAACATAAGATGGAAACAAGATTGACAAATCTGTCATAGACATTTATCTCCATTGTTAGTTCCGAAGTAGAACAGCAAGAAAAAAAGTGATGGACTCTATACAGTGACGACAGCAAATGTTCACATATTAAGTTGGAAAACGAACATGACAGACCTCCAGGTCCACTAAAAGAGTAACGCTAATCCTTAATGATCTAGTAGACACTTGTGTTCAGTGACAATCCTGTCCTGAGGTTCAAGATCCAACTTGCCCTCAGACCGCATACGCATCCCGTCCTACATCAGATAATCCACTACTTTTCCAAGACAGCCGAGTTTGGGAGCAGAATCCAACGGCGTCCCGAAGTTCTCAAGAATATATAGCTTTGCTCAGAGGAAAGAAGAGGGGAGGGGAATGTGAAAGCAAATGAAAAACCTGACAGGTCAAAACACAAGGGAAGAGCGGAGGCCTTCGAATAAGGTCGAACTCACCCAGGAATTGTTGGAAGAAGCCAGATGGAAAAGAAAGCATCATTAAAGGAAGAGCATGAGGAAAATGAGGAGACCATGTCAGGAGCATGAGTGAAGAGAGACAGAGAGAAACTGGTGGTTACCAGAACCACCCACTGTGCAGACTGCAAATGAAGAGTCCTGGACCAATCCTTCCCTCCCCTCATTCACAGAGCCATAGTCCTGCACTGCCTTCTAGCCTTTCCACAGCATGAATATATTACTAGCCACACAATGACGTTGCTTATTGTTTATGAATTACTGGCCTGCCTGACAACAAAGGCTATTTTCATAAGAAAACTCTAATTCATTTCAGTTCCTATTTGATTAGAGGCAGAAGAAAAGAAGCCCTTCGGTCATAGCCCCCAGAGGACTGTTTTTATTCAGTCCGTATGAATAGGGCTTTATTGCTCTTCTTTTCAAAAGCTGACGGGGAAAAGCTTTTAGAGTTAAACATTGACGAAAAATTATTGGGCGGCTGTTTTTGTGCAATAACAAACCCCTTCAAAAGGACACTGAGCTCTTATCCTTCCACCACTCACTCTTTTCTCTTTCTTTTTTGGCAAATTGTAAAGCCTGGAAATTAATGACAGACAGTAGCAAAAGAGGGAGAGAGAGAGAGACCAGCTCAGTCACAATGCATGTCAAATCTAAATGATCGCAGGCTACTGAATAGAAAAAAAGAGAGAAAGAAAGGGAAAGACAGCTAGGGTCTTAGACAAGCGAGTGTGTGTGTGTGTGTGTGTGTGTGTGTGTGTGTAGTCTGGTCAAAAGCTAATTGATTCCATGTCCACAGAGTCCTGCCGTCCCTTTCGCGTTTCAACGACAGGTAGTGCACTTTAACTGTTACCATGAAGAGACTGGGAGTCTCTGGAAAATGTCAACTTTTTTGTCAACAATAAAAGGTAAACCGCATACCCATTATGTCCTAAACTCAGCCTTCAAACCAATGTAAACACCATTAGTGCAGGTTTGAAGCATCTTTGGTGATAAACTGTGATATATTTTACCGATAATGGCAAGGCAGTGCAAGTTGTGTCCTTTTTCACAAAACCAAAGCGTCGCTGAAAGCGACACCCGTCTTCCAAACTCAATATGCTGTAAAAAGAGAAGCGAACCGCAGAGAACAAAAATGAAAAGGCCAACCTGGCATTTATCTGCAGGTTTTATCTATACACTAAAGGATAAATCAGGATAAATCAGGGCTTCCTTTTATCAGGAGGGCATTATGCTCCTTTGTATTTATGCAGGAATATTTAACAGGAGACAAAAGGTGACTTTCTCCTTATTCATCTGCGAACAAGGCAATGCTGGCATTCTGAAAAGCCTGACATTTGAGCTTTTTGCCAACACCAGCAAAATTATATCCTTTCCATTGTAAATCAATGAAGTAGAATCATCGCCCACAAAGGGACTAGATTGCCTTGTCACTGTAATAGAGCCTGGCGCATGCACAACCTTCACCAGAACTGTTGTGTGCAGACGAAAGACAAGGGCATAAAGTCATCCTTGTCATGCCCTTCCCTTTGACAGAGTACAGAAACTTAAAGCTTAAACTCCTGAGTTGAGCACCCCACATGGCTGTTCACACACAGTTAAGACACATTATCATATTGTTCATGTGGTAAATAAACATGAGGAGTTCACAGTTTAAGAGTTGTGGGTTCATGGTTTTTACAGTGGGAAAATGGCCTATACATTTATAATTATAAAGGAAAAAATATACTTAAAAAATGATATATTTATATAATTATATGCATACATACATACACACTTCTTTTCAAAGGTTTGGGGTCCGTTTATTTATTTATTATTAAAATATGTATTTTTATTCAACAAGGATAGATCAAAACTGACATTAAAGACATTTAAAATAACATTTTAATTTTAATTAATTTTACATTTTAAATAAATGCTGTTCTTTTTAACTTTGTATTCATTAAAGAATCCTGAAAACAAAAATATTAAGCAGCAAATCAGCATATTAGGTAGAATGATTTCAGAAGGATCATGTGACACTGAAGACTGGAGTAATGATGCTGAAAATTCAGCTCTGCAATCACAGGAATAAATTACATTTTAAAATATATAATAAAATAGAAAGTTGTTTTAAATTGTAATAATATTTCACAATATTACCATTTTTTTACTTCCCAAATAAATGCATCCCTGTGAGCATAAAATGGTTTCTTTCAAAAACATAAAAAATCTTACCAACCCAAAACTTTTGAACGGTAGTGTATATAATCAATATAATATATACTCTGCCTGGAAAAGAAAGTTGCTGTTTGGATTTAAATAGGTACCGGTATATTTAAATATAAACAGTTACTTTTTTTAGCCAGCCAGTGTATATCACAATAATAAAAAAAAAAGTGTATATGAGTATTATTTTCTAGTAATTTTATGTTTAAACCCAACTGATGCCATTGAATTAAAGCAAATAAACAAATTTCTTTATTTACAGAACTAATTTACAGTAACATGGATCTGAGATCAACACTAAATAAATATCCTACATGAATTCAAATGAGATTATTCTACTAGTGTTGTGTAAGAGCTATAGGAATAAATGTCAAGTACAGTAATTAGTCACAGAGTCCATAAATAAGATTTTGGCTTTCACTTTGGTCACACTAAGTAAGTGACACTGAAATGAATAGTCTTAACTCGTCTCGCATGAAGGTATGACGTCTATCGTATTGTGATAAAGAAGCTATTAAAATAATGAAGTCCCGTCACAGCTTGAGTTACAATGGCACCTAAAACAAGTATTAAACATAACGACATACATGAGCATTAGCTTCATGTTCCTCATTTAACAGCATACCTTTTTGTCTGTAGAGAGTTGACTTAATGTTTAAGTATACACATCTAAATCATTTGTAAACAATAATTAAATGGAATGAAAAGGTTCATGGTACCACATAATGGAAATATTCACAGATTCAGCATTTTAAATCTGAGTGCATCTGAATAAAAGTTATTAAAAAAATTAAAATGTAACACAAAATCTGATAATCTCTTGAACCGTTGTAATCACAAAAGTGATTTGTAGAAAAACAGGACGCTCACAACCCCAGGCATCAGTGGAATGCGAAGACTGAGGTACTGTCTGTCGAAACACCATCACATTAGGTGAAAGACGAACGTGTCAGGGACATTCACGCGTAACATTCATGCCATCCAAAGAGATGCTGAAGATGCGCCTGATTTAAGTCACATCATGATTGTTCAGCTAAAAAATATGTGGTTTTCAAACTAAATAAAAAAAATCTGCTTGGAGTTTAAACATTGGAATGAGCCATTTTAGGCCAAATATGTATCATTATGTTATTACAGACTTCCTGGATGTCCATGGTGGTTTCAAGCTAAGACTACATCTGAAATTTGAATGTTGAACTTGAACTTCCAGGTCACCTAACCCCTAGCGTAACAAAACGAGTAAGGTATGGTGCCCCTAAAGGGACCTGGTGATAGAAAAAAAAAATATGAGATGGGAAGAAAAATGTATTACCTCCCATCACATAATTGTTCCACCACCATGCCACTTTAGGGACTTCATAGTAAGGTGCCATATCATAAATTGGTCTCATCCCAAGAAAGATCGTTCATATTCTTTAGCATTTTTCTAACTATCCTCTCCAGATCTTTCCGGGCTCTCTGTTCTTCCTCCAAGGATTTCTTCATTTTTTTATAGTCCTGTTGGAATGGTAAAATCATGTAACCAGGCAATGTAAACTACTAAATATTATTATTTTCTACAAGATTAATTTCGATATTAAGAAAAGCTTCCTCATGCCCTCACAGACACTCACCTGTTTAAGTTCTTGTACCTCATCTTTCAGAGCATAAACAACATCCACAAGGCTCCTAGGAAACATTGGATATTGAATATATCAGTGCATACTTCAATAATAATATCATAATGCTGAAGCTCTGTTCAATTCATGTTCTCTTGACAACAACCTTTTTTAACACTTGTTATAAACGCTGTTCATAAGAATGGCCAAATATGCAGTCTTACTTCTCCTCCAGAAGAGTCTGACCATTACTCTTCAACTCGTCTACACTGAACTTCTCCTCCCCAGGAACTATCAGTGCTGGACTGGCATCTTTCCACTGTCCTGTTTCAAAAGAGAAGCCCCGCATATTGATTTCAGGAGGTTTAGTTCAGTTGGATTAATTGATTAGCTCAGTACAGGACCACTGTGCCTCAAAGAATGGTTTGGACTGGATCAAACTTACACAGGACTGTGAGAGAGTGAGACAGGAGTTAGTCATGCAGAGAGGGATCGGATCATCCAAAAAAAGTAAACGTATTCAAAAAACAAAACAAAGAGAGCACCAAGGGTTTCCTGAAGGACGGTAAAACTGAAATGAAACCACGCGCATACAAAAAACCTGTAAACAACAAACAATCAAAACAAAACCCACTAAACGAAAATAAGAAATTGTTGTAAGAGATCAATTCCTGAAAGCATACTGTACAAAACAACCCAAGATTTATTCAAAATTTATATTACAACATTTGTGGTATTTTGTCATATATTTGACTCTGCATATATATAACAATCACATTAATAATGTCTTGGTTTCAAATCACGGAAACGGCACTGAAGTATCTCTGCTGAACAGTTTTAAGAATATCTGCCGTAAACGACCAACAAAAAGGTAGTAAATATACATATTTTCTTCTCGTTCATTTTTTTAACCACAGAATAGAACTTGGTCACAAGAAATCACATAACATGAGGAATTATACTCTGTCATTATTGAAATAATTGGCAAGTTGGTTTTCTTGTTTGTCTCAAACACATCATACATAAAAGAGGAAAAGCATCAAACACTGAGGCTTTGACAGTCTCGAATAAATGGTGAAGAACTCTTGACTATTACCATCCACACACCTGATTTAAATGGATTCTAATAGAATTTCAACCAACATTAAATTCAACTTTTTTTTCTGTAAATTTCCATACTTTTCACTATAGACACCACTATAAACTTACATGTTAGATACAAGCATACAAAAAGTCCAAAATCATTCAAAATACATTTACAAATTGAAAATAAATACATTTATATCACATACTGTAAGTATGAACAAAACGTCACCAATAATACTGTCCGTAGTGCCATCTGAGAATCATACTTATGAATTTCGTGAACACTTATTCATGAAGTTCTCTGATAAAGACCCAACTCCTCATGTCAGCAGAGCGGAATTCTAATGTTCAAAGTCCAAGGTAATACCACACATTTCAGATGAATGACAATACTCTATTTACAGACATGTTAAGAGATGCTAGCATCTTTTTTCTTTTACAGCAGAACCTGTCCTTGTTGCCTTTGGAGTGCATTGTACCTTCAACAGCGTTAATAATTAAATACATCTGGGAATGAGGGAATAAGAACATCATTTTTTTAAAGGACACTTAAATAAATTTTGAATGCGAGGCAAACAACGTAAAAAAAAAAACTTTGAGTTAAGTGAGGTTGGTGGTTTCAGGGGGAGTTTAAATGTCAAGGCAACAGGGAACTGCTTTGGGAAAGTGCATATATATGCAGAAGACGATGAGGTGTGATTAATACAACACTGAGAAATAAATAAATAAAAATGAATCAAATAAATATGCATTAGAGTGACATCATTAAATACATAAATAGTTTCAAATAAATATAAAGTCATTTAAAATAAGAGGAGTGAGGGGGAGATTAATTTTGGTGGGAGATGTAGGAGCTCTTACGGGAAACAGAGCCCATCCTGTAACTGTGGGCCGTCCATATACTGTCATAGTCAGAGTCCTCTGAGAGGTCTGAGGTGGCCTCGGGCCTTGAGATACTGCTACGGCGGCCCAGAGAGTCCACACTGGATTGATCCAAGACGTGGTTATGCATGAGATCAGTGCCTTGCCATGCTGAAGAATCCGTCCGGTCGCAGATGATGAGAAGGGGATCAAATCATATGAATGAAGGGAAGGGGGGAGGCAGGGAGAATCGCAAATGGAAGGAGAAGAGAATAAAACAAGGGGGCCGACCAAAGAATGGACATGGGTGGTGCAACCACATAGATGGGAGAACCAAGAACACCGACATAGTAAATGAGTTTTATAAATAAATGATTAAATTAAAAAGTAATGTGTAAAAATGAAAGGGGGATAAATAAATGAACATTAAGTATGATGAGGAAAAAAGAGAGAGGATATTGTTATAAGAGATCCAAGAATAAACATGTTAAGATCAACAGACTTTAGTTTATAAAGGACTGCTGTTCTATGTTACACACGAGAAGTAGATATGAATGAGGAATGTCTTAGAAGAAAAGAGACGGAGGTGGACGGGGCCGCATACGAGACTTACTTGAGTTCAGAGTCTGCCTGGTTTTGGCACTCGTGCAGTAGGCCTCAATCACTTTCAGAATCTGAGCGTCTTCCTCCAGAGCTACAGTACCTGCACAGGTCAGAGGTTACATCAGACACATGATCTTTCAGAATCTCCCGATTTCAATAACCATGTCAAACCTGCCGACTTACTCTTCCTCAGTGCAAACTCCTCATCGGACGGCTTCCTCTCCGGCTTTCTCTTGGGCAGCAGCTTTTTCATTGTCTTGGGGCTTTTACTGAGGTCCTGAAAGAGGAGGAGGAATGGAAACAATAGGAAAGGAGGTGAAGAGGAGACTTACAGAGCCATAAGAGACTACTCAAAATAATAGTGACTACAATATCAAGGGAAATAATCAACAATTATGATTTCTGTTTTATATTATATTGCATTTAATATTAGATTTCCACAATATTTGTAACAGGAAGTCCAGTATGCTGCATACCTCTTTATAGCAGAGAGCAGCTGAGGGCCTGAGTGGGGGTGCTGGACGCAAGCAGCTCAGGCTCCAGGGCTTCTGGGTTTTGGGGGGCTCCAGGGGGCCCCACATCATGGTGCTGTGTGGGGCCCCATGAGAGGAGGGATGTGGTAGGGTGTGGTAGGCAGGAGCAACTGTCAGGCCCCGGCTTTCTGCATGTCTGGATGGCGTCAGAGGGTGAGACGGGAGCTAGAGGGGTAAAATTTAAGCTGACATTTAAGCTGAAGATAATTGACAGGTCACATTTCAACCCAAAATGAATAAATAAATGTTTGTGTTACATTACGCTTGACTTTATATTGTGTAAAGCTCGTAAAGGGATAGTTCACCCAAAAATGAAAATTCTGTCATTATTTACTCACTCTGATTTTTCCAAACCCGTAAGACTTTCGTTCATCTTCGGAACACAAATTAAGATATTATGATGTTTTATTAACAAAGTTCAGGAGGAGCACGTTCAGATAATTAAACCTAATTAAACACACGTGGAGCACATTCAGATAATCAAACCGAATTAGACACAAGTGGTGCTTAATCAACGAGTTAAGCGCTGTGTATATACACTAACCTCCGTTCATTGACAGTTTAACAGCATCCCTCCACCACCCCATCTCCTCACTTATAGTCCTAATACTCTTACAACAACGGGGGGAGTACTCTGGGTTCGGGCAAAATTCCGAGCTCGGAGCCCTCCCCCCGGACAGCACGCCAAATACGCATAATCTTTACTCTGTTTAATTGATGTAAGTGTGAACTCGTGAATTTAATGAAATCTAAGAGCTTTCAGTCCCTCCATAGACAACTTCGCAACCACCACTTTGACGCTTCAAAAAGTTAAAAAAGAGATTGTAAAACTAATCCATATGAATTGAGCGGTTTAGTCAATTTTTTTATGGAGACATTCACTTTATTTGATGAACAGATTGAATTTAGGCTTTTATTCACAAATTAACATTCACCAACACACACATCAGTTGTGGTCAACGGAATCTCAAGCATGTTCACTTGACGTGTGAGAACCAATGAGGTTCATTCTCCTGTATTACGAAGAACTTTTTAGCTTCTGCAAGAACCAACGAGGTTCTTTCTCACCAAATTTGGACTAAACCACTCAATTCATGTGGATTAGTTTTAAAATTAATAAACACAATTATCTAAATTAATTTGATTATAAAAATATCTTTATTTGTGTTCCAAAGATAAACGTAAGTCTTAGATGTTTTGAACAACATGTGGTTCAATAAATGATGACCGAATTTTCGTTTTGGGTGAACTAACACAAATGTGTGTGCTGTTTTTACTTTTTTACAAAACTCTTCTGCATAGCAGCTATAAAAGTGCTAAATAAATTAAGTAAAATAAATAAAAACATACAAATAATATGTAAATAAAATACATTGTGTTATATTGCACTTGACTATATTGTGTAAAGCTGTTTACCGGTATGTCTGTTTTACAAATGTGTGTGTTTTTAAGTTTTTGTAAAGCTTTTTGTGCATAGTGGCTATAAAAGTGTTTCCTAAATAAATAAAATGTAAACTGTATACTTTTAGATATTTAAAAACTTGAATATTTATATTTATGAATATTTAAATACTATATGTGTGGTTTTCAAAGATGTGACATTGAACAGGTGACTCACTGTGTGGCAGGGAACAGTGAGGGGTTTCATGCTGGGAGCCGCCATGGTGGTGTGCTTGGTCTGTCGGTTCAGATGCTCGAGCCAGTCCTGCAGATCCTGTTTGTTATAGCAGATCACCTGAAGCCTCTCAAACATGCTTCCTATTGGATGGACACACACACAAGCACAGTCAATGAATGACTAAGAATGATAAAAACACTTGATTGTGTCTTGAACTCAAAGAAATGTGAGTCAGTTTGTCCTTACCCGAAAGCTCAAAAGCATTTTTATGACTTTCACAGTCTTCTAATGGGGTCACCGTCATCCCACTCAAAGGTAGCTTGCCCTAAGAGAAACAAAGCAGACGTTTTCTCTTTGTGCTGGAGCCGCAAGTTCTATTTTAATGTGCGTGTTGAAAAGCTGTGGTTTGATGGTGTATTAATCAGCTCTGACAGCAGCTGGTTTCTGACCTGGTAGATGAAGCCACTCATCCTTGGACTGGCAGATAGGATGAGCAAAATATGAGGAAAAAGCAGAAGGTAACGCTCATGCTTCTCCTAAAAAAAACAAAAATATAACACAGCCATTGTAACTGCAGAACTGAAATCACAGTGGAAAACCTATTGGCATTATCGTCAATATGAATTAGCAACAGGTATTTTTAAAACATTATTTATAATTCTTTCATGCTGTTATTTAGCTTTTTCTTGCATAGTGTCCACAACTGACGACGGTTTCAACTTCTTTTTTTTTTAAATAAAACTTATATCCAGAAACAAAAAATTCTGAAGTATAAAGACAAATCTTGATTTTTTTTTTTAAACAATTCAAAGGGTTAACCCACTGGATAAACAGATCACTACTTACTCTAATCTTGTTAATAACTGTAATAATAAAAGGTTTCCTGAACACTACCAATAGTCATGTTTGCATCAACAATATTTGTAATTTAATTTGATCACAAATTGTTAAAACGCTCAAGCCATCCTAGGTGCATATGACTTTCTTCTTATAGCCGAATACAATCGGAGTTCCCAACTTTGTAATGACATTGAATAGTGTCCAAAAAGCGCATCCATTATAAAAGTAATCCATTGAACTTCAGTGGGTTAAATAAATGCCTTCTGAAGTGAAGCGATGGGTTTTAGTAAGAAAAATATCCATATGTAAAACTTTATAAACTAAAATCACTGGGTTCCGGCAACGGCCGCACCCGCGTTCACGAGTCGAGTTCCGGCGGAAGGGTGACCTCTGACCCGACATATGATGTAGCTCCTCTTCTCTTATATCGAAATCCGAAATGATTTACTATAACTCCAATTGTGTTCGGCTGAAAGAAGAAAGTCATATACACCTAGGATGGCTTGAGTGCGAGTAAATTATGGGATAATTTTCATTTTTGGGTGAACTATTTCTTTAAAAACCTGAAGTGGATCTTTCTTTTCCCAATCAGAACATATTTTTTTCCCCAGACATAAGGCATCTGGGGCATCTATTTTCACATAAATCAAATTCACACTATTAGGGGAGAATATATTCATCAGGTCTGTCAGCTATTGAGATCTTTGTGCTGTCTCACCTCACAGCCATGGTTCTGGACCATGGCCTGGCTCATATACAGCACTGACCCCAGGGTCTTGATGTCCTCCCCCTCCCAGAGACGAATCGCCTCAGTCAGGATCTGAAGCTCAAGCTCCTTACGCTTCCGCACCTCCTGACACTGTGCCTGTAACCATGGCAACACAATACATTAAGAAGGCTGGTTGTCATGGGAATGATCCACACCTAACTGCAGTGGCAAGTTAACACTCACAGAGAGATTCTTGAAAGCTGTCATACATTTCTGAATTTCTATCCTGTCTGGATGACCCTCCTGAAAGGGAAAGAAGACAGTGTCACATTGACGACGATAAAAACCTCAACAGAAATCAAACAAACACTCTCTCTTCTACCTCCATGTGTCTCTCCAGTTCTTTCAGTAATGTGGGATATTTGTCCAGTCTCATGAAGGGTTTGCTGAGGCCAGAGGTCAGTGTGAGAATACCTGGTATGGATGCACCCCTTCCCTCCATGAACTCTCCAAGTTCCTCACTGCAGGCACAGAAATGAGAAGTTATCACCAGTTTTCACCTATCACACCAGTGAAGAGGTTCTCTGTGAATCAGAACACAGTATAGTGGAGTCACAGTACCTGTGATCAGTGAGAATACTGACTGCCGACGGGTGGTTGGAGCAGTAAGACACATAAAGAGACCTCATCTGGGGCATGAGATTCAGGAAGAACCCCCCGACCTTCTGCTGAAGCTCTGGAAGCCTTAATCACAGAACATTGAGGAGAATTATTACACACACTGGACTGATGTTCCTCAAATATTCTGCTCAGGGTTCAATCTAGGACATAAATCTATATTTCCAATATTAACAACACATTCTGCAATTAATTCAGCCCAAAACATTTAAATTCACAGACTTAATTTAAACCTTATTTAGTAGATACACTACCGTTCAAAAGTTTGGATACAGTAAGATTTGTTTGTTTTTTTAAGAAAGAAATTAATCATTTTATTCCGCAAGGACATATCAAAGGAATGCAGTTCCTGCAAAAATTGGATGACTAGTAATTTCTTACTACTTAATTTTGAAAAAACAAAGGTTTGAATTATTGGACCAAAAACCTCAGCATGTAATAACCTAGAATACTGTCTAACACTTGATGGCTGCTCTGTCAAATCTTTTTCTCTTTGAAAAGCCACCTTTCTAGCATCTGTAAAACCGCATTAATATCTAAATTATGATATGGTCTCAATGAAAAATGCGATCATGACCTCAAGGCTAGATTATTGTAATGCTCTACTGGGTGGTTGCCCTGCACGATTAATAAACAAACAAAAAAAAGTTTTTTCTTACTAGAACTAAGAAGTATGACCATATCAGCCCGGTTCTGTCAAGACTGCATTGGCTCCCTATAAAACATTTTTAAAATCTTGCAAATTACTTACAAAGCAGTACTTGAGTACTTGATCTCAGTACTTGAGCGAGCTCTTAGCGCATTATAGACCTTCACGTCTATTGCGATCTTCTGACCATTCATAATACCTAGAATATCAAAATCGACTGTGGTCGGTAGATCCTTTCCCTATTTAGCACCCAAACTCTAGAATAGTCTTCCTAGCCTTGTTCAGGAAGCAGACACACTCTGTCAGTTTAAATCTAGACTAAAAACACATCTCTTTAACCTGGCATACACAAACACATTATCATATTTCTATAATTCACATCCGTTAAAGGACTGTTAGGCTGCATAAATGAGGTCAACCAGAACCTAGAACACTTCCATTACTAGTGATGGGAGAAACGAACGAATTGCTTCGCAAAATGATTTCGAAACGCTGGTGACCCCTGCTGGTCAGAACAGTGTAAATGCAACAAAATCTCAGGCTAAACGTGCATAAAAAAGCTATTACAAAGCCATAGCAAATGGTTAATTGAAAGTAAAATTGATCAAATGCAATTAACTAATCATCTACTAAGATTCAATATCAAGTGTCTATATAATATGTGTTCTTTTATCAGTTTTCATGGTTTGTTTCGTTTGTTCCATGGATGGCTCAGCTAAACATGCCAATAAGAGACTATTAACTACTATTATTCCTTTTAATTATACTAATGTCTCATTAAAACATCTACAAATGTATAAAACTGATCAGAGATCAGAAAAAACCCCATAGACACTTGTTCAATGATTCGCCGCTGGGGGGCGATCTCAGGGAATCCGCATGATTCATGGGTTCACAGATCATCGCCCCCCCCCCCCCCCCCCCCCCCCCCCCCCCCCCAGCGGTGAACCATTGAAATTTAGAAACATTTAGAAACAGTTATGACATAACAAAGCCTTGTTTACTGAAATCACGTGACTTTGGCAGTTTCATACACGCTCCGAACCACTGATTCGAAACAAAAGATTCGTAAAGGTTTTTTAAGCTTCATGAAGCAGTGTTTTGAAATCGCCCATCACTACTTGTTACATCGTAAGCAGACTATGCTAATATTAATCTCTCTGTTTATCCCGAGGTTACCGTAGTCAGACGTATCCTGTCGATATCCAGATAAGATGGTGGACCTGCACCTAGACACGACCACAATGCAGCCCTGATTGTCAGCAGAGATCCTGTCAACTAGACAATCCCCTGTGAAGACCTCGTCGACACGACAGCCATCGGCACTAGAGGCGTTTCCTCCGAGGAGGCAAGGGAGGCAGAGTCTCCTCAAAAAATTGGATGAGAAATCCTAATAATCCATATTATAAAAATAAAACAACTCAAATATTACAAAATGTGACATTAAAAATCATAGAAATCGCAATTTTTTTTTAAAGTAACACTGTCCAACAGTGACAATGGCAGGTAAAGTTACAGCGGAAGTGCGCGTCTCTTGTGCCTCCTCTGAGCCCATTGAGTTTTAACAGACCCCTAAAGCGTGTGGTGGGGTTGATGGGGGTAATTAAGAATGAATGGGGGAAAGTCACATGAGAGGAGGCAATGCCTCCATCGCGCTATGATTAGATATGATTGGTTATGGTTGATGCGATAAATCCCGCCTCTTGTTTTCAAACGCATTTGCGAATTGGTCTGAATGAACAAGACTAATTAAACAGCAAGTAAACAACTCATCCGCTTAGATATCACTGCTTTATGTCACGTCAAAATCAAACTTGAAATGGACTGAAAAACATTATGTAGGGATTTTTTAGTAATCAGCTTGGTGAAATTTAAGGTACATCTTTGTCTGTGATCATCAGTGTTTACCGAGCATGATAACCAATAAAAATGAGTTGACTATTAAAAAGAATAGCTGAACATCAGTTCACAAATAAAATATATTGTTTAAATCGTGCCCTTAGTAATTTTTGGAATAAATGTAAAAATGCTTAAACTATCTTGATGAGATTTATACTTAGTTTTAATGAATAGAACAGTAATTACATAGGTAATGCAAAAATACAGAATAGAATTGTATTTGGCTTCTCTCTCTCTCTGCCAATCAGTGGTGTATATATGTATATAAACATTAAAAACTGAGGACTTTGCCTCATTTCAGAACACCACTGATCGGTACATATCCTCAGCAAAGACCACAAAGAAACAGACAAGTCCTCTGCACAGACCTATGACCAGCTTCTCCATACTGGTGTGATGAACCCGATCATCAAGCAAAAGGAACCGGATGAAATATTTTAATGATCCACAATCTGAATTCTGACTTGTGATGCAGCCTGAATCATAATAACACCACCATGTTCGTTCCCTTCGTTGGCCAGAGGAGAATTGGCCCCCCGACTGAGCCTGGTTTATCCTAAGGTTTTTTCTCCATTCTGTCACCTGATGGAGTTTGGGTTCCTTGCCACTGTCGCCTTTGGCTTGCTTAGTTGGGGACACTTCATATTCAACAATATTACTGATTTGATTGCACTGACATTATTGGATGAGAAATGAACTGAGCTGGACGATGACATCATTGTTTTTTTGCAGAACCGCTTTATTAGATTAAATAAACTTATTTAATAATTGATAATCTTTACTACGGAACTGAATCAACACTGAACTGACCTCAGCTGAACAATGACACTATTTTCTTTTAGAGTTTCTGTATAGCCAAAAAGAGCTCGGTTTAAATCATTGAATAATTTTCCTGTTATCACTGTAAATCTGCTTTGAAACAATCTGTATTGTATAAAAGGCTATATAAATTAAGGTGACTTGACTTGACTTAGTGATCAAAAGTGAGAATAAAGACATTTATAATGTTACAAAAGATTTTTGTTTCAAATAAATGCTGTTCTTTCTATTCATTAAAGGATCCTGAAAAAAATGTATCAGAGTTTTCACAAAAATATTAAGCAGCACGACATTTTCAACATTGATAATAATAAGAAATGTTTCTTGATCACCAAATCAGCATAACAGAATTATTTCTGAAGGGTCATGTGACACTGAAGACTGGAGTAATGATGCTGAAAATTCAGCTTTATCACAACAGGAATAAATTACAATGAAAAAAAAACTTATTTTAAATTTAAAAAAAAAAAAATCTTCACTACTCATTTTTGTCATTTTTGGTTTTTGCAAACATTATATTTAAAATTTTCATTATTTTATTAAACAATTTATATGTAGCAGTATGTTTTTATTCTTAGATCTCAGATATGTTTATAATTTTCTATGGTTTTCTTTACAAAAAAATATACCTCTTAGGCTCTTACTTTCCTTAACAGGTATAAACGTACTCGGTTACTTGCGTAACCTCGGTTCCCTGAGATACGGGAACGAGTACTCAAACAGAAATAAGTCAAAACTTATACACAACAGAAGTAAAGATAACAAGATTGGAAAATGCTAAATGAGTTTTTCAGCAAAAATGTTTGGGTTCCCTTTCGAAAACCAGGAAGAACTCATAGAGGTCGATCCTGCCCTAGACAATCGTTCCAAAAAAACCTGTATGGCCTAGGCACTAGAAGGGCAGAGAGCTGGTCAGGTAAGAGAAGGCAATAGCCTGTTACCAGTGGCCCAGACCTTGATCGGAGCCACGAAGGTATTATAGCAATAGGCGATAGCCACAGAGTTACCATATAGTAGGGGGGAAAGTTCATAGTGGTTTGGGCTCGGCTGAGGCCAAATCCACTAGACAGAAAGGACTTGTGCCTGCAGAGTAAATGTGAATGGCGAGGACCAGCCGGCCGCCCCACAAATTTCACCAATGGAGACATCACTGGAGCAGGCCCAGGACGAGGCCATGCCTCTAGTGGAATGAGCGCTTACTCCGATGGGGCATTGTAGGCCCGTCGAAGAGTTGGCTAGTGCAATTGCGTCCACTATCCATCTGGATATCCTCTGCTTCGTGACCGGATGCCCTTTGGTGCGGCCTCCGAAGCATACAAAAAGCTGTTCCGCAAGTCTAATAGAGGCTATGTATATTCTCAAAGCCCTGACAGGGCAGAGTAAATGCAGCTCTCGTTCATCCGCAGAGGGAGGAAGTGCTGAGAGGGAAATGACCTGTGCTCTGAATGGAGTAGAGAGCACCTTAGGTATATAACCATGCTTTGGTTTGAGGATGATGACAAATTCCAAGCATGAGGCGCTCACAGAGAGTGCCTGTATGTCACCCACACGCTTGACAGATGCTAGTGCTAGCAGAAGTATGGTCTTTAGCTTCAGCGGTCGCAGGTTGACTGACTGGAGTGGCTCAAAGGGAGGGCTCTTGAGAGCCCTTAGCACTGTAGACAAGTCCCATGTAGGGACGGTGAGGGGGCGAGGCGGG